AATTTCTCCTGTAGCAGTAAACAAAACTCTAAAAAAGGAAAAACTCTGTTTTCTTGCCCTTTATTTGAAAAAATGCTGGAGCTTTAGTTGCCTATAATTATGTGAAAAAGGAGTTTATTGTAACTAGTAAGTAAACTATTTCTGCTAACTTAAATGGAAATAAAATGGAAATCTAGCTAACAGAGAGGAAAAACTTAAATTCTCCACTGACGATTAATTCAGGGCATTACTTTTCAAAAAGAATCTTGAAAGAGAGCAGAATTGCAGGGAGACCAGAAAAGGACTAGAGGGACTTTGAGGGGCTCAGAAGCTAAATCATGTAAAGAAACTAAATATTATTAATCTCAAGATAAAAAGCACAAATAGTAATATCATAGGTAATTTCCAATTTTAAAAAGCAGAAGAAGGTAGTGTTTGCAGTTCTCCAGAAGGCAAAAAAAAGGGTTCTAACAATTGCAAGGGAGAAGAAAGCATGTTTTGGTTTCAAATTTCATTTTATCCCATCATAGAATGGCAAACTTGGAAAACACTGGACTCTTATTAAACACACAAAGCATGGTAGCTGTCTGTGGAATTCCTCTGTAAAGGTCCTTTGATCCTTTTTTCTAAACTTTACCATTCTACTCCTCATTGTAGATTCAGAACCCTCATTATAGAGATCAATTGTAAAATTAGTCAATAAAATTAAAATATGGATGACATTGATTTGAATCAAACTTTAAATAAAAGTCTTTCTTGCTTATTGACATACAATGGAGCTTAACTTACCACTCATGACTTCCATAATTATTCTGTCCATGTATGCCCATCCCTTCCTTTTGGTTTGTTTCTCTCAACCTTCTTGCTATCCTGTGTTTCTTTATTTTGGTGCTCAGGTGAAATAACTATTCTAGACTCTGATACTCAAAGAGTATCTTTCTTTTGTTGTGTGAAGCAAACAGCCTTATAGTACATACTTTAAATGTGACATCTTTGGGATGTTTTCAACACCAACCGTCCTCCTTGAATAAGGCTTTTGTTGAGTTCTGTGTTTTCTACAGTGCTATATGTTGACAGTTTCTCTCTTTTTTTCTTTTTTTTGTTTTGAGTGCCAGATTATCAAGTTATTAGACAATCCTACTTCATACCACTTGAAATAAGAAATGACCAACTAGCATTAACCACCATCCATACTAGAATGAAATAGGCTTCGAAATGCAAATGTCTACTTTGGAAATTTCAGTAATAAACTTGTAAGTGACCAGCCTAGGGCAGTTTCTCCTATGACATCTATATTTAACAGAGTCTCTACTTATATGCAGTGTTGTAGAAAACGCACCTTCAGGGCAACCAGAGGAGATCCATGAAGAATAATTAAGCTTTTAATTTGATCATATTTTTAATAGTGAAATAGCTGCATAAGTTTATAATCCAGATTAAGATGTTTCATAACTATTTCAGTGTTTTATGGATGCACATTGAAGAATATAGGAAGATACGTCAAAATAATACATATATATAGTATAATAACTACCGAAAAGAAATAGAATCAGGGAGAAACTGAAGGGGACTTTTATTTTTCATCATATACTGTTGTATATTTGAAATTTTTGAATCAAGTATATAGATTTTATTTAAAGGAAAGAAAAAGAAAATTTAGGAAGTACCTGTCGTCAATACCATGTTACTTAATGAAAAGGCAGGACATACTTCCTATTGCTAATACTAGTGAGTCTCCCTCTATGGTCCTATGTTTATGCTTATTTCTGTTAATATGTAGACTGGCAAAGACATAATAGACAAAAAGTAAATTTCATATTTTACTAAAAATAAAATCAACGTGAAATTAAAAAAGGCCCTATTTATAAAACCAAAAGGGAAATTTTCGTTCTGAAGTATTTATTTCACTGCTTTTAGTATAGTGTAACTATTCTTCCATTTCCAAAATTAGAAGAAAGAAAACCAAATAGGAAATGACTGAGTTTATAGACATGAGAATAATCATATGAGTAATTATTTAAAATGACACAAATGATGGATATCTTCTCTGTACACTAAACAAGAATAAAAGAAGATTCAACAGTTAAATCCAGCAATGCCTGCTATGAGATTTAAATGAACTTCCCTTCAGGAGAAAACTGTTGTTATAGATGTTAGTCTTTCTATTTAAAGGCATCCTTTTTGGACCTTGTTAAAGAACCTTCTGCTTTAGTAAGTAGTAAACTTAAAAGGCTTAATAGATTAGAACTAAGCTGTCTATATTGCTAGGACATGCACATAAATATTTAATATTATACGCAGTACTGATACAGCTACTGTGTGAATACTTAATACATTCCCAGGAAAACATCAAATTCCTAAAAACATTCTAAATGTTGAATTTCTAAAAACCACAGTAATATGGGTTGTGATATAAATTATAGTTCATACTAAATATTTTGATCATTTCCATTCCAGTGAGGAATAATTTTGAATAACTGTCATGATATAAAATTTGAGCCAAACTCTAAATTTAATTGAGAAAAAATTGCTATAAAAGCTGTAGGAAAAAATGGTTTCAATGACAAGATACAGTTCATAAAATTATCTTAATTTTTACTTATAAATTAACTTGGCATAAGTCTTCTTCATTAACTCTTTTAAAGAGTGAGAAAACCAAATATTGAATTTGAAGATGTTTTCATTAATATAGTCTGTGTCAGAAGTCTGCAAATTTGAATCATTTTATTTAAAAGTTGTTACTAGAAGAGAGAAAACCATTATAAAATATTTCCTAGTTGTCAATATTTTGGCTAATAGCTTTATATTATGTCAGATGTTCCACCTACCACTTTACCTCAAAGTCCAAGCCAGTAACTTTTTTTCAGGATGAAAGGACTTGGTCTCCTCTCCAACAGATCCCTGGTGCCTTGTCTTTCAACTCCCTCATTTACAGTTCACTTGCAGCTGAGAGGTCAAGAACTGAGGACATCAAATAAATGTAGTCTTTTAGATATGGTACTTAAAATTGTTTTTTGTGATAATTGGCACAATAGGGCATATTAGTAATTGTAATTTCCCCATTGTCTCCTGGAGTAATGTATATTTTAAAACCTTAAGTCTTATAAAATATTCAGAATTATAAGTAATTTATATTTGCTTTATTTAAAGTGATTTTGGATGAATTCAATCCATTTAAATAACCTGCTTTTTTAAATGAAATTTCATATTGGTACTGTTCTTTCGTAATATTTTGAAACTCTCTGACCAGGAAGGAACAATACCTCTATGCCAATGTAGATTAGAAGTATTCATTTAATAGAGTGTTCGTTAATTCTTTACTTCAGTTATAAAAATAACTTTGCTTACATCATTCCTTATGTACAATACTTTATTAATGCCTTTTAATCAATGTTGAATACTATCTGATAAGAAGAGCACTGAGACTTTAATGTGGTACCCATAAAGAACACTTTTAGCTTCCAAGCCATTCTCTGAAAGTTAATATTTTGAGTTGGGCCTATCGTCTTAATACAAGTCAATAGATTGAAGAATCAATTTAAGTGAAATGAGTATTTCCTCATTTTTAGCACTTGTATTTGTTTGAACTATTATTTAGAAAAACAAGTAAAGCTGTAATCTTAAGAGAAACATGTACTATAATAACTAGTAGTTTTCAATATTCACATGTCGTTTAGCAAATGAGAATGAAAATTGAACTCTTCCATTGATGTGCTGCTCTACCCCTTATAAAACAGTATTAGGAAAATTTGACAGTTTTGCTACAATTGCTGTATGTATTTTTTTCCAAAACTTTCTTTGTATGTGTATGTCTGTAAACATCATGTTTGATCATAAAAGTTTGGGCGTGAAAAGCTTGTTTGTGTTATGATCAGTTGTATGATCATAATGACAATGAATTCATTCTTCTCATGTGTTGGTCTACCATGTTGAATTTCATGGAATCTGTTTTTCAGAGTTTGCATGTGGTGCTCACTTTAGTAGCCACTATCTCTTGACATTATAAATAATACTTTATGATTTTTGTTACTATATACTGAAATTTCATGACTCAAATGGGTAGTGCTTGGATGAGATAATTGCTATGGTCTTTGGCATTTTGATTCCAATACCAGTACTCTACTCTTTTGGTTTGGATGAAAGGACTTCTATCTATATCATCCTGATACATATTCTTAAATCCAAGAGATAATAGAGATAATATGTTTGGATTTCAGTTTATACTGATTTTATTCTTTTTAAAATTTTAAGTATCAACAAGCTTTTTCTGCCAATTGTCAGAGCTGACCTTTCAGTTATCAGATATTGGCAATTTGGCACTTGTCTATTATTGCTATTAGAGTCTTGGTTGTTCTAAAATAATAATTATTGATCTATACCAATTTATATTAAACATGAAATAAAAATGTGGCAAATACTTTGAAATATTATAGTTTCCATTAAAATATTACCTTAAGCCTAATTCTGTCCTAACATTTACTTGTCAGCATACTAAAAATGATAAAATGTGTTTTTCACAGGATGTGTAGATAGAAAGATCAAGCATAGATGCATTGTAAGGTGACCTGACCTCGATGTGTGTTTATGTTTTTTTTTATAGCCATCATACTGTTAACCTTTTTTCATAACACTTTGCATGACTCTGATTATCAAATATGGTTTTAATACAAGATTTGAATGAACCCTAAATGAACTCTCTGGTGGGGTGATGAATTTCTTTGTAGAGGCTGAACCGATCAAGTTCCTCCGAGTGCAGCACAGTGGATAACGCTTTGCCAGAAAAAGAAGCAGAGGCTGAACCTGTCAATCCAGATGAGCCAGCAGCCTGTTTTACAGATGGTAAGAGAAAAATCAAGACCTCGGTTAGCATCCATTTATTATGTTTTGGCTTTGGTCTTACAACATAATACTTACAGGGAATTATTGAGAAAAAGATCAGAAGACTCCACTCCATGCCGATTCAGTCGTGGCTCTGTGGCTGTGGGCAAATCACTGGAGCTTTCTAACTTCAGTTTCCATACTTTCCACAAGCTACTAACAGTAATTTACAACAACACTGTGTTATACTGCAAAGTACTCTGTAAGATGTTCATATTCTCATTTAGATCCTTAATTTATGTCCCCAGCTCCATTAGTAGAATACAACGTAATGGGTTGGGTGGTACTGTTGTCCTTTTTATCAAAAATTGAAGCTACTCTAACTCTCAGGAAAAATTTGATACTGTTGATCACAGTTCGTCTCAAAATTCTTCCTTTCCTTGGTTTCAGAGGCCACACTGTATTTTCATTCTTATTTACATCACTGAGATTTCTGAGTTTCTTCTTCTGTTTCTTTCAGTGACTATTTTTATGCACATACCTTAAATAATAATGTTCCCTCACATTTCAACGCTTGGTTGTCTCCTTTTCTTCTCCTAGCTCTATGCAGTTCCATCCGTGTCTGTGGATTGAGCATCCATGTCTGTTGTGGACTCTTAAGTCCTTATCTTTACCCCGACTTTGTTCGAGTTTCAGATCTGCCTAGAGCTCCTTATTACTCATCTCCACCTGTTGTCTTGAAACATCTTAAGTTTGATAAGTTCAAAACAAACTTTCATGGGATTTCCCCATATAATCTCCAGCTTCCTCCAGTCTTTATCAGTTTAGTAATGTCATGATTTATCTTGACTCTCAAGTTAGACTTTAAGTCAGTTGATCATAAGTTGATCATAAAAAACCGTAAGTTGATCAGAAACTTTGGAGATAGGATCCTTTAGAGGATTGTGATGCACACTGAAGTTTCAGAACCATTGGCAGGATAAGATCTGAAGTCCTTAACTTGACATGTAAAATCCTTTTACTTTTGACCTCAATCTGTTATTTTCTAACAGTACCTCTTTTCATTCCTTTTCACTTTCTGCCTTACTGAACTTCTTACTATCCCTGGAATTTTTCAAGGTGTTTATTCAGAATAGTAACTTTGAACTTGATCTAGGAAAGTATGCAGCGTTTTCTAAGCAAGTGTTGTGTCATCTAAGTAAAAACACAAACCTAGAGTAGGGCTGCAATATAATGCAGTCATTTAGAACACAACCTTTGGACCATGAAAAATGTAAGTTCTAATTGGCCTACTGTTTACTCCATTGAGACCTTGAGCACATTTTAAAATCTTATTCCTCAGACACCCCATCTGTAAAATGGGTCTAACAACAATATCCATATCATAGGAATGTTGAGGAGATTAAATGAGATAACATTAATAAATTAGTTAGCTCAGTCTTCCATTCCTTCTGCTTTCCTTATTGTTTTTAAAGTATTTTGTTAACAATCTTACCTAGAAGCTATGAAAGCCTTGATCCTAATGATTCATGATCTACTCATGAGCTTAAACTCTCAGCACCAGTGTTTTTTGTAGGAATCACTGGCTTGCTTTCATTCTCCAAGATTTTCTCAACCAGTCTCCTGTAACACTCAAGCAATAAACAAAATTGTAAATAAAGATATCAGCAAGCTACAAGGGATGTATAAATTTTCTTTAAATACAAGCCAAATCTCATTTTTTTTGTGAAACAAACAAGTATGACACCCAATTAATAGAAATTTGTGTTTGCTTAAAGTAGTACCATAAGCAAAACATATGGAGTTTCTTTAGAAGTGTTCATGGTAAAGGCATTTAAGGGTTTCATCACATGTTTCAAAGTCAAAGATGACTCCAAGTTTGGGGCCTTAGAAACTGGAAATATACAGATTCCACATGAAGACTTCAAAATGAAAAAAAAAGTAAAGTCATAGTATTTAGAAAGAACACTCAGTTCATCTTTAGATTAAGCCCAATCAGTGTATATCCATTGTTTGTATGTGAAATTTTATTACTCTCAAAATAAATAAATAAATTAATTAAACAAAACAAATGAGTGGACTTGTCAGGATGAGAAAGCAGGAACTTGTCTATTTGTAGCGAGATGACCCTAATCAACTCATGACTGGCTGACAGGAGTTGAGCTTGAACCAATGCCAATTTAGAGCAGTATTTGGCCTCCAGAGGTTTTTGTTACCTGAAAGGTAGCAGGAAAGTCAAAGAAAGTGTGAGAGTTAAATCAGAGTAGTTGTGTTTTCAGTGACAATAAATGCTTAAATGATTTTGTGGTTCATTGTCTTGCATCCATATTGATCCTTTTCAACTTTATGACTATCATTTGACTAATTTGCATCTATCTTGTTCCTCTTCACCTTTTTCTCCACCCTCATATGCCATGTCTTTCCTTAGTTCTGCTTCATCAGCTTTATAATTCAAGACTTCAGGCTCGGACCCCAGATCTGGCACTGTCCTGCTCTCTCCTTAGTGCTACATGTCTTCGCAATCTGTGTAATTAGGAACATGACATGACTCTTTGATTCTGCTTCATTTTATATTACACTGCTTTTGGATTATACAACTAGTAAATCACAAAATCAGGATTAGGTTGTGAGAAGGACAGACTCTTTTCCTTAAAATAATGTATTTTCTAATAAAACGTTCTTAGTTTAACTTCCTAGAAAATAACTAATCCTAACTTTAATAACATAATAACCAACTCCTTTGTGCCTATTTTTGTCTTTTTTAAAGAAAGAAAATGTGGACAAAACACTTGTTTTAAAGGCTTTTAGAAATTTTTAAGAAGTGTTTTAAAAAAAGACTCATTTTCCTAATCAATTTTTACCTTAATTATACTGATCATGTTATTATATTTTTGTTAATGGGTAAACTGTCTTGGAAGAGGTCTGAGGTTTCTTTTTTATTTGAAAGCATCGGCTTAACATGATGAAACCCAGTAGAGATTTTATGCAATAAATCATGAGAGCAAATTAATGAAACCACCCAAAAGAAATAGCATTTACCCATGGGGACCCATTAAAATGTTTGAGAGGTTCATTGTTATGTTTACATTTAATTAATAGTCCTTTTAAAAAAGAAGGTGTGATAACGTTGCTAACCAGCTAGGTTGGAAATCTCTTGGGATATGCCTTGGTATAAAAGCCAGACAGGCAGCTTGCCTCAAAATTAGAGAGAAACTCTCTGCAGTGTGATAAATCCTGAGGGCAATATTTATGAACCTTTATCTCACATAAAAATTTACTTACTTTTCTAATTCGAATGTATAGTATGTATAGTACGTTTCTGTGCCTCAGTCATAAGAAGAATATTTCTCTTCAACGTTAAGGTTGACAAAAATAAATCCTAAATAATAAAATCTTCTTGACCACAGAACTAACTTTCTCCTCTGGTAATTACACTTAAGGCAGATAGATTCTGTTCTGCATACGATCTTTGTTTAAAGTTTGAGATAAATTCTAAAATCTTAAGCATTGAGTTAATGTAAAAAAAAATTCATCTTAAATTGTTCCACCTTATCTAGTGTTTTCTTTGCCCTGAAAGCGATTATCTGGGAGTCAATTTTTGGCCTTACTCTTTTACTATATTTTTATATCATTTTATAAAATATTCTTTACTAAATGTTTTTGAGATATGAAGTAATTATTTTAAATACAATGAAGAGAAATTCTTTCAGATCTGAGGTTGTGTAAACTGTAATTAACATTGGATAGATGAAGCCATGTGTGTATTTTTAATTCACTCTGTTGTTACTGTTTTTTCTTTCTCATACAATCTTTGTGTAAATTCTAGAATTCACAGAGATGTGACCCTTCAGATCATGTCTAATGCTTAGATGATTTTAGAACTCTTTTTGAGGGGATTATGTTTTCTAAGTCAACTGTCCCTGCATATGAAGTTGTGTAGAGGATGGTAGTAAGTACTGTGAGCAGAAAGAAAGGGCATACAGATAGTTTAGCCTCCTGGGAACTTAAAGATTCCAGAGAGAAAGAACAGGGACACATAAAATACACATGATAGCAAAACTACCAGAGACTTTGGGAAAAAACATAGCTTGCTACATTTCTGTAAAGCTGGAAACTAAAGTGTATGAGATACTTCATATTAATGATCAATGAACTAATTTCACTGTAGAATTATAAAAGAAGCCATAACAAGAGATTGTCCAAAAAATGTATTTCATCAAGAGAATTCTAGCTTTGTTGTTTCAGGACATACAGTTCATGATTGCGTGAAGTTATTACTTGATAGGCTTAATATTTTTAATGAAATCTATTATTTATAGAAAAGGAAATTAATTTTAAAGTGCTTAACTTGTAAACTTCTGAAACAAGTATCTAAAAAGTGCTGCTCACTCTTGCCTGCCTCTCACCTTCTACATTTCCTCCAAATGAGGTTTTTCACCTAAAATTTTTAAGAGAAAAATTAACTTTAGTTCCTCTTTTTAAATTCTTCCTTTTCTTTAAAGCAATTTTGGTGGTTTATTTTTTAATCAACTTTAATTTAAAAATTTTTCAGTTATCATCTCTCTGGGCCTCTCTTGGTCATGGCTCTGTTCACCGGTCCTTCATGAAACGTCTTCCTCCCTGACTTTTCTTTTATCGCAGCCTCTTGTGTCTCTCCCACTTCTGCTCTGTCTCCTCCTTCAGGGTTTTCCCTTCTTTCACCTGCCCCCATGGTGTACATGTAAATGTTTACCAACCAGTTCTCCAGGAAAAAGAAAGTACGTATACATACATCAGTTTGCCATATATTTTACTGATATAAAGGATATGTGGTACACAATTTACAAATAATAATATAATCAACATCCTTCACTGAGCATTCCATATAGCTGAGTAGTCCTCGCAAAATGCTTTTGCTGAATTTTGCCAAAATTTTGTACTTATAAACAACGATTGCAGTTGATGAACAAGTATAGCTTTCACCTGAAGGTTGGTTGGTATTTTCATTTATGTTAATCAGTAAGATGAGAGTGAAACAAAGAGGCTACATGTGAGAATTTACTCATTTATCAGTGATGTGAACAAATCTTTGCCGAATCAGATAGTAGAATTTAAATAATGAAAGACTCTTTCCTCAATTTTTTGTGCTATTCACAGTGTAATGACTACAAACATACTTTTTCTGTTTTATTAAATTTTCTCCATCACCTTCTTAGGTCTGCTTCAGAAAATCAACAAGCCCTGATTTATAGTATTTGATGACTTTTGTAGATTCCCACCATGGCTGATTTCAAACCATTGGTGTGACTTTGCTAAATGCAGAGTTAGTTGGAAATAGAGACACAGGAGCCCAACAGTGTAACACTTCCACCAGCCAGAGAGAACACATAAATATACTCAAGAGCATAGGTAACAGTAAAATGTAGTAAAATTGTTAGAGTAATATGTTTTAGTATTTATTACCTTTTAAAAAATAAGTTATACTTTTAAGTTTATACAATTTTAATTTTTAAATTTATTATTTTTTTAATCGAGGTACCGGGGATTGAACCCAGGACCTCATGCATGCTAAGAACGTACTCTACCACTGAGCTATACCCTCCCCCTACAATTTAATTCTTTATAACAGCTGCATTTAACAACAGTCTAGAGAAATTTCCTGACAATTTAACAGTAAGTTGGCAAGAGCCAGTATGCACTGGATCCAGCATACCACTGAATTCTGTACCTTAATATTGCATTTTATATGCAATTAATATTACCGTAACATTCCGAAATGTTCCAAACTTGACCCTTTCTTTCCTCACTCTAAATACCTTTTTGTGTGATGTCAACAACTGTCTTAATCTCAGCTAACACAATATGCTAATGATTTCTACACATTCTTTTCCAGACTAGACTTTTTCCCCTGAGCTTTGGATTCATACCTCCAAATGTCTATAGGATATCTATATTTAGAGGTTTCACTGGCATGTCAAACTCATTAACGCCACCTATCCTCCACAGCTGTTGGAGACATTGACTTAAATTACAATCTTCCTGTATCGTTCTCTGCTTACAACTCTTTACTTACTCCTCATTAGGATATAGGATATAAACCGAACTCCTTAAGATGGGGAAAATGCTTTCCATAATCTGACCAGTTTCTCTGCTTCATTATTTATTTACACCTCTTGCGTACGCTGCTGTCATCACAATTCTGAACTGCTTGTAACTCCTTTGCACAACACATTTTGCTGCTTCTTGGCCTGGAATTCCACCCAAACTCTTCGTGGCTAACGCTTTGATTCAACTGAGACGCCACCTTTTCCGGGAAACCTCCTCTGACCTCACTTTCTCAAAGAGCAAGCCAGTTAGGTGAACTTCTTCCATGCTACCAAAATAACTCCCACATACTTGTTGTCATTTTAGTTGCCTTATACAGTTATAGTCATTTATTTCCATATCTAGCTGCCTAGTAAGATACCAAAAATAGATTCCTCAAGCAGAAGAAACTATGTACACAGCTGAGTAAAAAGCTTACTCAGTAAATGTTTGATGGAGATATGAATGAATAAACCTGAACAATTTTAAATAAAATATTCCTCAGTTTTTTTATAGCAGTATGTTTTACATCTAGGATTACAAAGTCAGATTTGTTTGTGACTTATAGTACTTGAAACAGTTTCATCTGCATCTTCTAATCAAGATCTGTTTCTTTTGAACTGAATTAGAGAACCTAACACTAGTTTTTAAAATATTACTTAGAATGCTGTTTCTCAAGGAGTTTTTAATAGAGTTGAAGCAGCACCAGATTGTAGACTGAATTCCTGTCAAGAAGTCCCTGAAATACATTTTTGTCTTGAGATTTTAGTTCATTCACTCACCAGTAATTATTTGGTGTTCACTGTATATCAGGATTAGGACTGCATTAGGGTTGCAATAAAAAAAAAATAGGTGGTTTAAATACTGTAGAGGAGACTGATGAGAAACTAGGGAGGTACAGAAAACACGAATACATCCTGAGTTAGAAAGTACAAGTATTAAGGAAACACCATGGAGAATTAGGAGCTGAGAGAAGGCAGCATCCAAGTTGAAACTATTCGAAGCTTTAGATGTAAGTGTTAAAAATGGTTTGGTTGGGAAACTATCACAGGGAACGCTTTGCATTAAAAAATATTTTTTAACTATTTTATTTATCCTAAATATCCAGATTTTACATACATGTCTTCCTTGCCAGGTTGTGTACGGAGGTTCCCATGCTGCCAAGTTAACATAGAATCAGGGAAGGGAAGAATCTGGTGGAACATCAGGAAAACCTGCTACAGGATAGTTGAGCACAGCTGGTTTGAAAGCTTCATTGTTCTCATGATCCTGCTCAGCAGTGGTGCTCTGGTAAGTGTTCTGACACCTAAGGCATTAAACTGATCGTCAGTGTCTTTAATAAATGAGTTGGAAGACAAAAATATCACAGCAAATTGTTTTACTTAAGAATTAATCCCTATGATTAGTACCAAGGACAGAATGTTAGTTTAGCTCAGGCCAGGCATCATTCTTGCTGCCCTGAATGCAAAGATGGATGAGATCCAGGTACTTTTCTCAAGGAGCTCAGAGAGCATTAGGGAAGCGAGAGGCACAAGTAAGTGACACAGAACTGAAATGTGTTTGTAAGTGAAGTATTGCATGATTAAGCTCTGGAGTAAGAAGAGTTGTCTGCTTGGGATTTCAGAAAGGTAGACAATGTTTTGCAAGATCTAGAACAATGAACAGGAATTTTCTAGCCAGGAATGTAGCCTGAGGGGAATGAAGCATAAAATAGCATGAGCCATTCAGGAAATTAAAAGTTGACAAACAGCAGACAGTGTCATGGGAGGAAGAGCAAATATGGGTTGGTGGGTGGTGGTGACTAGAAATACTGTGACAAAGACAGGTGTTGTCAGCTTATGAAGCATCTTGCAGAAGGGAAAATAGACTGTAGTTTTAGGGTGAGAATAGGATGGGTTTCTCATTCTTGTACATGCGCCAAGCACCTTTGATGAGGTTTGAAGGGATCTGGGAGAATTACAAGCTCCCTGAGCCTTTTCTTGTTTTTTCCTGCTGAGCCATTAGAAGCCCAGTTCCAGCTAGAGATACCCCTGGAAATTCCTTTTTACTTAAAAGAGAATACTCCAGAACTTTATAAGTTACCTCACAGTCTTTATGGATCTAGGATTTGCTTTTACTTACAGAAGTGAACCTGTTACTGTTTCATGGGTGCTGGTAGAAGATGGGAGACTCCTGAGTCAGTGACAAAGGACTTCATTACTCATGGCATAGAAAGGAGCATGAACTTCAGCATGTGTGTGTTGGTTCCCCTTGTCCCCAAGTCCGATAGGGGCATCATAGGGACTGGAATGAAAACTGCATACCCAGTGGGTCTGCATCACAGTTGAGAAGCACTGAGCTTAGAGAAACCATCCTTTTATATCAAGCAGTAAGCAACCATGCTGTTTGTTCCAGAAGAAGATACTGCCTTATCCCTCAAGGTTGCTTATTGCAAAAACACCCCTGAGAAATGACCTGGATAAAGAGCAGTCAGGGCCTTGCATTCTTGGCATACCCAAAAAAAAACATGCAGAGATGCTCAGGGCCCACAGTGCATTGTCTCTTCCAGCAAATTTCCTCTCTCAAAAACAGAAGATGTAATAAGAAAAATTCTGCTCTCCTTCTCTAGTGGAATGGGAGTAGGAACCTTGACAAGGTAGACACTGCCTTCCTCGTAGTCTAGTATTCTTCATAACTAAAGAAGTTGATGAGTCATGCTGGGTCACATATGTGACTGAGACTTTCAGAAAGGAGATGACAAAAAAATTAAAAATTTAGAATAGTCCCTTGTTCAAAATGTCTAAAAAGGAAGATGACATTTTGGGGGAAGAGTTCTCTCAAAACTGAAATTCAAATAAATCACATGAGGAAGAAAAGGGAGAGATCTTTCAAGAAACTGGTGTTTTCACTCAGGAAGTTTGCTAACAGAGTGAGATTTTTGAAGTAATTAATTAATGATACCTTAATTAATAATAACATAAATAAAGAGTAATAGCTCCAATTTAGTACACACTTACCGTGTTTCAAGATCTTTATAGAGATCGTCTTTGATTTTTCAATCATCCAGTAAGATTACAGTAGTTTGCTCATTTTACCCATGAGAAAACTGGGGGCAGAGTTTTAAAAGTTGCTTAATGTCCCAAAGCTAGTAAATGACAGAGTCATAACTGAAGTCTAAAGTCAAAGCCACCATGTCTTTGCACTGTGTTGTGTCTCCTCTGAAAGCGGAGGACACACTGGATAGAAAGAAATGAGTGGTGGCCAAACGAGTGACAGAGAAGCCCATGCCCCAAATCAGGCAGAGCACACACAGTAAACTCCTCGTCTCCTTGCTCCCACATCCACAAGATTAGTCCTTGAAGGTGGGGGCCCTGCAGGCAGAACCCTGTTTCAGGCTCTGGCTCCAGCTGGAGCAGGGTGTGCTCTTCTTCTTTGTGATCAAAGCCCCCTCCTTGTCTCTGCATTTCAAGGACTGAGGGGTTGACAGAATTTCTGTTTAGGTAGCTTTTGCCTGATTCCTCCAGAACTTGGAGAAGGGAGGCAAGAAAATCCTGAGCTCTGGGCTTCAGTTCTTACATTTCAGCTCTGCTGCTTTGAGAACCTCTGCCAGCTGCTAGAACGTTCTCTCAGCATCTTAGTAGGTCTCTCCATTCTCTCTATCCCAAGTTCTCTGTTTTCTTCAATAATGATACCAACATTTGGCAAAAAGTGCTAAGAATCACTTTTACGTATTGCTAGAACTTGGAATAAGAATAAGAATGACACGTGCCATGACTATGGACAGGTGGTCCAGTATTAACCACCAAGGATACAGGTCCTTTTGCTTTTATTTTCTCCAACAAGAGAATCTTGTTTAAACTTGAAAGGAAAATCTAATACTTTAGACCTGTTTAGATCAGCAGTCATTTTCAAAGGCTTCAGTCGAGTTCAACTCGTTAAGTCCATCCAAATTTTTTCCAAGGACCTTGTGGCTGTGAGCACAGTATCACTGTCTATCACTTACTAAAAGTTCCTGGAGAAGTGTTAAAAGGTGCCCTGTTCATGGAATGAATTTCACAGTGATTTGTAAAGCTAAAGTTTTTAATGAATGATAAAATATTGGTGCAAAATTCAAAGGAAGAAACCATCCTCTATGTTCTGTAGCCTTAGTAAGCTACTGCACTCATCAATTTAGCAAACCTTTCCTTGCCTCCCTCTGTGTTTTTGACCCAGCACTAGGCACTGGGAATGCACCAGCATATAGGAGCTGAAGGAGAGGCTCTAACTCCTGCTGCTGGGTCCAAGGAGGACGGGATGAGAGGAATATATAAGAGGGGCTGACCCTGGAATTGTATCTTAAATTATTAGGACTTAATCTAATTTGAAGGAAGATAAAAGGGGAGCCAGATGAATGGAAATCCCTGAAAGTGTCAGAGATCCTGGTTCCTTTAGAGGATTATAAGTAATTTCATTCTTTTGCATGCTCTTTCTCTTGACCTCTGGTGACCAGCTGCCTGCACTAGTGAGAAGGTGAGAACTCAGTGCCACACAGTAGCTGTAAACCAGAAGAAAGTCAGCTGGCCCATAGTAGTATTATATTTCAGTGATTTCATTACCAGAATTTTATTTCCTGTTTTTGTCATGAATCATAAGCTTCAACTTGTATGTGAATTGAAATTTGAATATTATTTTCACAGGCTTTTGAAGACATATATATTGAAAAGAAAAGGACCATTAAGACTATCCTGGAGTATGCTGACAAGATATTCACTTACATCTTCATTATGGAAATGCTTCTAAAATGGGTAGCATATGGTTACAAAACCTATTTCACCAATGCCTGGTGTTGGCTGGATTTCTTAATTGTCGATGTAGGTACTTTTGAGTAAATTTTAAAAGAGGATTTATTCTTATAAATAAGTGTTCTAAAAAAGCTTCACTATTGTTGTATATTGATATTATTTACATAGATAATGTGCAAAAATTTTTTTCGAGGTGTAGCTATATGTTACATCTCCTTTGTTCTCTCAGGCTTCTTCTATGAGAAATCTAATTTTTGATACTTTATATTAATGACTTCATATTTGATTTTTTTGATCTACCTTTTTTATTATGTGTTACTTTTATATATAGTTACTATATATATTTACTTTTATATATAGGTACTGCCTAGAAAAATAAATGGTAAGATGAATACTTTTGTAATATAATAGTTTTAAAGAAAGGCTAACCAAAATAAGAAGAAATTATAGAAGGAATATAGGTTATCTCTTTTAACCTGTAAATATGATTGGGTCTTTTAAGAATTATTATAAAGTATTTAAGATAATCAAAAACCTTTTAAAATAATTATCCCAAACATAATTATTTTCATCCCTCAGATTAAGAAAAAAGTTTACAAGTAGACTTGAATTTATTTTTAGTTGAGAAAGAGATGTGGCTTTTTAATAATGGAAAATTTTTTTTTATATTTGAAAATCTAAAGTGATGATTCTTAATATTTAGGAGAATGTAATGTGCAGAATTCAGGGAAGTTATATAGCTTCAATTTGAAATATTTAATATTTTGAAAAAAGCTAAATAAATTATATATGTATATATGTGTGTAAATTATAATGTTTTTATAATGCAGCAAAGAGAGCAAAACTACACTCAGTATTCTTGTTGACAGAGATGTAAATCAAGGCATGCAGATTTGGGGGAATTTTTTTTAATTTCTCAAAAATTAAGAAATGTATCTAGCATAATTGCTCTCAAAGTACAGTCCTTGAACCAACAGGCATTGGCACATGTGGGTGGGAACTTGTTAGAGATGCAAATTCTCAGGACCTTCTCAAGACCTACTAAATCAGAAGCTCTGGTGTTGGGACCCAGCAAACTTGTAACAAGCCCTCCAGATGATTGTGGTGTATATTCAGGTTTCAGAACCATGAATCTGGTTTTATATTTAGAAGATGGACTTGTTTCTTTTCTGTGAACTTTCTGATTATTTGAAATTTATTTGATTGAGCATTATTCATCAGTACAGGTATATATCATGCATATGCAGATATATACATACCTAGAAAAACAAATATATTCATATATACACACATATATATGTTCTCGGTTACAGACTATACTTTAGTTTTCTCAATAATGTGCATGTATTATATTCATATCATAACATTCACTTAACAGTAATTTGGAAATCAGATTTACCATTTTCTTAGGGGCTATTCAAATTACAATAGACATTTTAAAACTTTATCTTTTTATGATTAAAAAGGAACACTGATTATTCTGATTAAAAAGTACATATAATTTTTTAAGCATACTTAAGTGGAAAATAATGGACCTGAAAGCCTGGGTGAATTTAAAAGTGATATGAAGATTAATTAGTAACGCTGGGTAGATATCATGAGGACTTAAAAAGAGACAGTAATCTTACACTTAGTGAGACATTTAGAAGTAACTACATGAGAACAAAATAGTTCAACACATCCTGATTCAAAAATCAGTTCAGGGGAAGGGTATAGCTCAGGGGTAGAGTGTATGCTTAGCATGCACGAGGTCCTGGGTTCAATCCCAGTACCTCCGATAAATAAATAAACCAAATAAAATTACTACCCCACAAAAAACAAAACAAAAATCAGTTCGCATGTCTCTGATAGCACCAGCAATGAACTCGTGAGGAGTAAGTTCTTGTACTCCTCCAGTAGTTAAATATAAGGAAGTTGACTCTCAAGTTGTTCCATATCTTCCCTGGAAAACTTGAATCTTCAGTCATTACTTAATTTCTAATGAAGAACTGCATTCCAGACATTGTTCTTAGGCATTGCCTCCTGCTGCAGACAGTATGAAATGATGGATATTTTAACTGGAACTTACTCAGAGACAGAATGCATTTATAGATCCAGATCTAGGGTCATGGAGGAGCTCATTGATCTGTTACCAAAATGTGTATTGATTTTACTTCTGTCCATGTTCTTTCTTCTGACATAATTTATAAGAACACAGATTTCTTTTGGATACTGGTTACAGTCATTGTGGAGGGTCTTTCTAACATGATGAAGATCTTGTACATCTGTGTTGATTGTGAAGCCAGTGAGATCACCTACTCTCCTGACCTTCAGTACAATTGAGGGTTTTCTTCCGTTAATCATTGCTAGGAAGATCTTTGATGTTAATTCTGAGAAATTGTAGGGCAGAATAATCTCGTGGGGAACTTGCCTCATCTCAAAATCATGAGTCTTCAGAATGCTTTTGAATAAGGTTTATAGTAGAACTTAGATCTGGTTGATTGAATGCCTCACTCTTATGACTTAGCTTCAGAATCACACTTTGTTATGCCCTGAGCTTTATTCCAATTGAAGTTTTAAGAGGTGCTTTAAATGTTCAGAATTAACAGGCAAGTACAAAACCATTGGCTACAAAGTGTGATTTTCATTCAGATGTAAGAAATAACTTACTTCCCTTCTATTATTTCTGCTTATTTCAGTTAACTTTCCTTCAAATCTGTTTCCTTAAAAAAGCATCCATATTACCCTTTTTTTAGGCAGTGACTAGATAACTTTATATCTAAAATCAAATGTACATGATTGATTTATATATAATCATATTATATATAAAATCACATTGTTCTTGTTGAGCTGCTCTTAGTGATCTTTGAAACTGACTTTTTCTCTTCTTGCTGTATTATTTCATTGAAATGATTAATGAAAATTTTATTGTCTTGCAGGTTTCTTTGGTTACTTTAGTTGCAGCTGCTTTTGGCTACTCAGATCTTGGCCCCATCAGATCCCTTCGGACACTTAGAGCTTTAAGACCTCTAAGAGCTTTATCTCGATTTGAAGGAATGAGGGTAAGAAATTGCCAAACTTCCTAATATAATATTCATATTTTAATGAAGTATAAAATATGAAAAAATGTGTCCAGAAATTATGGACTGTTTATGTTTACACACATGTGTGTATACATACATATGTATATCTTGTCTGTTAACTTATCTAAGAGTGTATACATGTGCATACACACACAGTATTTCAAAGCATATTGTTTAACAAAGAGTAAAGTAAATACAGTAACGTCTCTTTCATACTATACCGTTAGGCAGTGATCCAAGTAAGTGACTTTTCCTTTAAATGAAAATCTTCACCATGTTAGGAAATTCAAGTGAAGGGGACATTATGTTGTTAGTCCTAACAACACTTCTCATATACAAGTCATGAAAGACGACAGCATCAGGTGACCAGTGCTTCTAGGTTCATTCTTAAAATATATGTTTCAGTGACACTGGAATTATCTCCAAATTATATTTGAGAAAACTAAGGCTCTGAGAGTTTACTTCATTTGCACTAGGCTGCATAGTGTCTGAAAAAAGATTCGTTTTACAGAAACAAATGAGATGAGATAAGTAATGACTACTAGCAATCTAGTAGCAACTTCTTCATAAAATACACAGAGGACAATGACCCTCTTTTCTCTAATAAGTCTATATCCTCATTTGCTGCTGCTCTCCTCGAATTTCTTCTTCTCCAGGTGTATGCCTGCTTTCGCATGTCTCTGTTCTCTTAGCCAAGAATGCTCGCCCTGCCCTGTCTCAACCTTAACTCATCAGCATAGCAAACACCTACCCTTTCTTTAAGCCTCAATTTAAATTTGCCTTGTCTGTCCACCACCAGGCATAACTGGGTATCCTTCTTGTATGTTCAGACACATAAAATCCTCCTCGTATTACTTAACTTATTTATCTGACTGCCTCTCTACCTGTGGCCTCTGAGCAGTTTAACATGCAGGTTAGTCTGGCTCACTGCTTCTCTAAGTGTGGTTGGCATCACCTGAAAACTTACTAGAAGTGCAGATTCCCAGGTTCCACCCCAGATCTACTGAATAATAAACTCTAGGATGGGCCCAGAAGTCTGAAGCCTCAGGTGAATATTAGACATGTTTTAGTCCAGCTGATCTTCATTATTATCCCTGCTAACCTAATTCTGACCGCAGCCTCTACTGGGTGTACCCAGTATATATTGGCTCCCATGTGTATAAGAGAGATCATGATTGTACAAAAATCTTTTTCATAAGTAAAAGTCAAGTACTTTTTGTCATGTAACAATTGAAAAATAAGTTTCCTTAACTTTATCTTTTGAGCATTAGTAGAATGTTACAATCTATTCAGAAGTTATGACTTGATGCCTCAACTCAAGCAGAGTGTACCACATTTCTGTGATCAAAGAATATACTTCCCTCTGTGATTAAGCCAGTCCATCATTTTACCCTGTTTGTTCTTTGTTCTTTATCTATAATATAGGTGAATTGGATGCCGGAGAATGATACAATACATTTGGAGGGGCAAACATACATTTGTTTAGTTACATTCATTAAGCAAGCAAAACGGGGATGTTTCTTCACACTGCAGGGTCATTTTGGAGAATAAATGAAATCATGATTGGAGGCATTTTGTAGTTAGCTTCCTTTGAGGCTTGAGGTTCTTAAACTTATTGATCTTCCCAGATGGCTTCTCATCAGGGCGCTATGTACCCATCTCCCTCAGAGACCCAGCATTGCTCACAGTCTTTTGGCAAACATTTTCAACACCACCTATGTGTCAGCTATAAAAAGAGTACAGTGGTAAATAGACCCCAGACCCCCAAGAGTGAGTAAGGACAGTGGTCATGGAGAGACAGACAGGGGAATAGCAGTTATTCTGTGACATCTGCTGTAAAAGAGTAAGCGCACAGTGCTACTGGAATAGTGCTGGAAGTGGCTGCCTGGGGAGGTCCGTGGAGGCTTCACGAGGAGGTGACCTTGGAGCGGGGACTGAAAGAGTGAGCCCCAAGTCACAGGCGGGTAGACATTCCAGGCTGAGATGCTATTTGCTGAAGGATAGAGTTGACTATGCAAGATGTGTTTGAACAGTGACTGGAAGGATCAGCATGTCTAGGTGATAAGCATGGTGGGAGAATAGCTGGAAATGAGGATGACAACGTTGGTTTGAATAAGAGCTGACCACTTTGAACTCTGCTCTCTAATCTTGTTCTTCCTAACCCTTTTGGGATCATGTACACTCTAGGAATCTCATGAAAGTATAAGTCATCTCTCCATAAAGAAATCATAGCCATAATGTTTTTCATATAATTTCTTGCCCCTATGGAACCTTTACAGGTCCATGGACCCCAGGGTCATCACTGCTGCTCTGGCCCAGGGGTCAAAAACCAAAGCCCACAACCTGGTTGCCTGTTTTGTAGAGGAAATTTTATTGAGTCACAGCCACTCCCATGTTTATGTATGATCTATTGCTACAATTGACACAGAGATCATACAGCCCACAGAGCCTAAAAATATTTAAGAAAATGTTTTCCAGCCCCTGCACTAGACAATCTCAAAAATAGTCAAGAGATCCTTAATGTCTCTCCTTTTGGGAACGTCTGGAGAGCCCATTTGATATATTGCGAAAGAGAGGGAGCACGTGCTCTTTACTTAACAAGTTCATCCTTAACAAATTTGCACTCAAATTCAGACCATAGCTCAACTGTAAGAAGATAGTAAGTCTGGAAAGATGAGGTAATTAAGAGAATCTGGAGAGTGGTAAATGCTGCAGTAGTCCCCATGCAGGAACGCTGCATGGCAAGAGGCCCTGGTGATCAATAATAGTGGAAATGCTGAAAAGCAGAAATACAGGAAGTATGAAAGATAAACTGTACTTCATTTTTGCTTTAACTGAGGCCTGCACTATCTGTATTTAGCCAAGGGATTATATATATAAAGCATTTCTAGAGTCAGAATAATTAATCTGTAGATTGCTCCCATTTTGCAGATGAGAAAACAGAGGTCCCAAGGTCTTAACCAAATTTACATATCACACAACTGGCAGAACCAATTCAGTCTAAGGGGTTCAAACCACGACAAGACCCCCAATCTTAAATCCAGTTTATACACATTAGTCTTTTCTCTATATGAGAGAATTTTAACACTGGTAATTCTAGGACTGTGAACCTTTAAATGTACATTTTACTTATTTTTAATCATTTGTATTTATAAATTTCTTTCTTTTCTAGAGCATGCAGATTTTATGACTTCACCTTACATATATCAGGTTTTTGGTTTATTATTTTTATTTATTTTTTCATTTTAAGTTGTTATATGATCTTAGTTATTTGTTTTGTATTGTTGCTAATAGTTTCACTGTGTGATCCACCTGTATTTTGTAAAGTCACTGATTGTGGGGCTCTTGTCTCATTTTGTCCTGCTTAGCACACTACTGAGCATATGGTGGGCATTCAGTAAATACATGTTGGTTGATTGGTTTGATTCCTTAAACATTTAAGGGTGGCTTTTCTAACTTATCTAATTCTGCATTGTGTTTCATTAATGTTGCCCATGTAACATTCTTACCAATCCTAATCGTTCTTTTCTTTCTTTTGAATGCTAGGTGGTCGTGAATGCGCTCATAGGTGCAATTCCTTCCATCATGAATGTGCTCCTTGTGTGTCTTATATTCTGGCTAATATTTAGTATCATGGGAGTAAATTTGTTTGCTGGCAAGTTCTATGAGTGTATTAACACCACGGATGGGTCACGGTTTCATACAAATCGAGTTGAAAATCGTTCTGAGTGTTTTGCGCTTATGAATGTTAGTCAAAATGTGCGATGGAAAAACTTGAAAGTGAACTTTGACAATGTTGGACTTGGTTACCTGTCTCTGCTTCAAGTTGTAAGTAACCTCTTTTGTGAATGCTTGATATTTTAGTGCACATTGGATGAAGATCTGTCATTATATAATTATTAATATAATTAAAGACAAAGTACTTTGTGACTTTAAAAACAGAGTTGGTCTTTCTTAGAACATGTGCTTGTAAACATAAGAAGCATGGGTTCCGGTGCATTTGAGTTATTAACCCATAATTACCTTTTTGGAGTCATTTTGACTCCCCTACCATTGTGCCATCTGAATATTGCTCCAAAAATCAATAGTCATTTTTGGAGACTGCCACTTTTACACCACAGGAAAGTGAGAGGGACTTCCCGCTGGGACGGAGAATCCTTAAGGTATGGAGAAAAATTGTTTCCTTCCTTATTCATAAAATTCTCCTCCCCTTCTGGAAAAACAAAAATTCATGTGTAAAACTCACAAACAAATTTTAACAACCAGGAAATAATTAACTAGGACTAAGATTTAGAATGTGACTTGAGAATGTATTCCTTTCTTTCCCCTTGATATAGCATCTTTATGTTAAATTGGAATTTTGATACAATGGGCTTTGGCATCTACGTAATGCAAGGGACTTGAGCGTAGACAGATTTTGGTATTTGGGGGCTGTGGGGTTGGGGGGTTTTGAGGGGACTGATACTGATCTGCAAATACCAAGGGATGACACTACAGTAAAACTCACTAATTTAATATAGTTAATAAATGTTGTAACATTAAACAAATTAAACTTATTTATGGCTATTTTAGAGTATGAGTTTTGCATTCATTCTACAAATGTTATGTTTACAGGCAACATTCAAGGGATGGATGGATATCATGTATGCTGCAGTTGATTCTGTTAATGTAAGTATTGTAATATACTAAACTCTATGATTTTTAAAGCTCCCTAGTTTATTTAGGCTGTTTTCAAACAGCAGCTCCAAGGAGCCCTTGGTATATGCACACACAGTGAAGAACCTGGACCTGGTAGTGGTCTAGTGGTTACCTGTCAGCATTTGGAAACAGAGCTTCACTTAAATTCTGGCTCTACCATATCTTACAAGCTTGCACCTGACTTTAAGCAAATTACTCTACCTCTTTGAGTCTGTTTATTGGTGTGTAAAAAGAAAGTAATTCACTGCCCACCTCATGGGGCTGTTCTGAGGCTCCCACAAGAAAATGTGAACAGGACACTTAGCACAGCATGGCAATAATAAGTCCTCAGAAAACATTTATTTATCCAAATAAAAATGAAATAACATATTCTATTTGTAGTTTTCACTGCTTTTATGTTTTAAACTGCCTTAGAAGAGTTTGTGTGAAATAAGTCCCACACTTAAGAAAATTTGAAGACTACTGACTAGTTCAGGTTGTCCCAAAAGCCAGTGAAGACATTTCTAAAACCAAATGAAAATAAGAGCATGATTTATGTAAATAAATCTATTACTCTATTTTTTTCTGGAAATAAAACATATGCATCAGGTCATTTAGTTACTAAATTAGTCCTACAATCAGAGAACCAGTAATATAAGTGGATAAGCCCTTTGTAGTTATCTGAAGATTATATTCATAGTAAGCATGTAATAAATATTTATTTAGTGTGGAATACATTTTTTAGAATGCTTTTGTTGAATCTCAACAACATTATGGTTTCTGAATAACCACATTTACCTAGGATAGCACTGTTTGGACTGCCCTGTCAAAATGTGTGAAAAGAAAATGATGAATTCTGTTGTCAACATACTGCTAACTTTTGTTAATTTTATAGGTAGACAAGCAGCCCATATATGAATACAACCTCTACATGTATATTTATTTCGTCATCTTTATCATCTTTGGGTCGTTCTTCACTTTGAATTTGTTCATTGGTGTCATCATAGATAATTTCAACCAACAGAAAAAGAAGATAAGTATTTCAAGTTTTTGTCATTGCACCGAAAAGAAATGAACAATTATTTTCCCCAAATTATAATGTGAAATTTAATCTGATATCAGTTAGTAATTAGTTCATTAGAATTTCACTTACTTTTCAAGTGAGATATGCTTAATCTCATTCATCTCTGCACAGAAAATAATCATCTCTTGAGTCACAATTATTTTTAAGCAATATATTAGCTATTGAATTTTTTCCAGTGTTCCTTGCAGAGAATTGATTAAGAAAAATTGATGCATTAGTCATTTATTCAAAACATGATTGTATAAGTAGTCACTGTATCCTATTCTGAGCCCCTGGTCTGTGTGGTCTGTGTGGGACTGGCACTTAAAGGAGACCACCTAGACCACACTTACTTCTCCAAACTAGTCATTGGCAGCAACAGAAAATAGGGGATACACTCGATTAAAAGCTTTTAAAGGGTAGGGTCTACAGCATTGTTTGGATTTGCAGGAGAATAAAATGTTTAAAAAGGCTCAGTTTTCTTAGAGTTAAAAGTTACTGTGACTGTAGTGCCACCCACGTGAACAGAGACCTTTGAAGGATGAGGGATAGAATTGCAAAAAGAAGTGATTTTAGGTACTGGTTTAGCATCTAAGAAAAGACAGTTGTACGTTGCAATGAAATGTCATTAGAAGCCATGATTGACTATTCACGAGTGAAGGAAAATGTAGTAAATGTTAAATGTTGTTTATGTTTACATTTCCAAATATAGGTATTTATTTTTCAAAGAATTTTTTAATTCCATGTACCATTCTTACATTTTATATCTGACAGTCAAACTTAGCTTACATTATCATATATTCATGCCTTTAGGCAGAAGATACTGAATAATTAATAAATTAATCTTGAAAATAATTTTACAAAGTATATCCTGATTTTCAACTTAGTTATTTTTCCTACTTTACTCATTATATATGTGACATATAAGCACACACATGGTTCCCTGGCAGTCCCTGCATAGGTTAAATTATACATGTATCTAGAAAGAGCAGTATGACCACTACAGGACAGCCACAGTTCTAATTGCTTTAACCTCCTTGCTCTTAAATATTATTCTTAAAACAAGAATTGCCACTGAAGGAAGTTGGCATGAGTAGACGCCATTACCAGCAATGTCAGGCAAAAGTTGCTAAAAAGACCAGCCTGACTTACAGGATGTCTCCCACCTACTTTTTAAAGGGATGCATTTT